TGTAATATGTTTTCAACTACCTGGGCAGGGGACAGGGGTTCAAGGTGTGTTTCTAGCACCTTAGGAGTGTTCTAATAACGCTCTTCCCTTTGAAGATCAAGCAAGGGGAAAGCATAAGCTTGTTTGAGTAAATACAGAATACTGATATTGGACTCCAGTGTTCACCTTGAAGACAAAGCAATCAACTTAAGAGGGAAAAGGCCCTTTGCTCATCGGGTCCAACACAGTTGTATGCCATCCTCTTCCTTATTCAGACCAGGACCAGACTGGAGCGAGGCAGTATATGGGCTTCCAGGAAAGAGGGATTCACTGGAAGCGGTCAAATCCAGAAGCGGTGTCTAAGGAACAGTCACCTGCCTCCTTCAGCCTGGGCTACTGCTGGCTGGTAGACAGAACGAGAACTCTAGAGCTCTCCCTGTTCTCCAGGTCACTGCCATGCAGCAGTCTGGGATAGCTGCCCCCAGTCAACGCTCTGATTCAGCAAGTCCCTGCCCGCTGGCTCCTTAGCACAGTCTTACTTCCACTTACTCTACCTTCAGATGTAGTTTACAAACAAGAACTTGAAGATCCCAAGTAATGATTTGAAAAATACTAAGGAGAGTATTAGGATTCTGATCAATCACTCCTATGCCTCCCTCTGACATATAAATCCTGCTCCCTGGTGTCCAGGACTTTCCACATACAAATGAAACATGTTTTTCGGTCTTCGTCTTCTATTTCGTCTCCACGTGGGTTCTTTGTTTCATCTAAATTGAATTTCTCATCCCTCAGATCACTCTGACATGTCTTTCCCTGTTGTCCCATCTCCCTTGAAGGACTTCTTTCTCTATGTCTTTCAACATCATACTCAGTACTTCAAATTCCTTTTAAATATCATCTCCTTCGTGAAACCTTCTTTGATCCGCAACCACTGCACCATGGATGAGATGTCGCCTTCACTGAGCTCCATGGTACATGGCTGAGACTTTTGTAGGGCACCTAGGGTGCTACTTCCCAGTCTCTGAGACCAGTTCACATATCATGGCATGCAGATTTTATGTATTTTGTTCCCTGTGTCTATAAAAATGGAATGTCTAGAGGTTTCTTGTTGCATAATGGCTCATTGTAACCCACTTCCTAAATGGGAAAAAAAACAACTTGGAGAACTAGAAGGGAGCAACACCATTTTGCACTTCAACACTTGTGTAACTGGCTGTTTAAACCATTGGTCAGGGGCGCATGGGTGGCTCAGTTGGTTAAGCGTCTGCTGTCAGTTCAGGTCATGGTCCTGGAGTCTGGGGATCGAGCCCCACATCGGGCTCCCTGCTCAGCGGGGAGTCTGCTTCTCCCTATCCCTCAGCTGCTCCCCCTGCTTCTGCTCTCTCTCTCTCTCAAATAAATAAATTAAATCTTTTAAACATAAATAAATAAAATAAACCATCAGTCATCAATAGTACAATGAGGAAACAGCTCCATTTTTCTTCTTCCTCTGCCTGCTGGTTCTCCCTTCCCTGTCCTTGGAGATTGGTTCTGTTGGTTCTCCCTTCCCTGTCCCTTGGAGATATCATGGGCAGATCCGAAGACTCTCCATTTGCTTTCCATTTATTCTTGGGTATTAAAACAGTTTGGCTTTTCAAGTATTAGAAAGTGTTATTCAGTTAAAAACTTCAAATTGCCATCCATTGCAAAGTGTTTCCCTTCCCTCAGCTCAGAACTGATTTTTGATTTGAGGACTTACTGGTGGGAAAAAAGATATGTGACCTATTCTTTTACTTTCTTGTTCTCTGCTTTCTCTTCCTCCAGCTTGCCCTGCGAGCATACCTGGAGCCATTGTTAATAAACTGCCAGAATCTCTCTCTTTTTTAAAAAAAGATTTTATTTATTTATTTGAGAGAGAGCGTGCACAAGAGAGCATGAGGGCTGGGGGAGTGGGAGAGGGAGAAGCAGTCTCCCCCCGGAGCAGGGAGCCTGACGTGGGACTTGATCCCAGGACCTGGGATCACGACCTGAGCCGAAGGCAGACGCTTAACCGACTGAGCCACCCAGGCTCCCTCAAAATATCTTTTAAATAAGGCTTGGAAAAAATGAGGCGGAGATGCTGGAAATTCCTTGGCTGAGGAAGGGGTGAAAGGCTCAGGGAGATGGGCATGTTAGAACTGACTTACTGTGCAACACCGTGGAACCAGCAGATGACAGTGGTTCTCAGGAAGGCCCAGAAGACACTCTTCACTAAAGTAGAAAGGAATGCTTCGGAAGGGAGGCACTAGCATCTTGACAAACTCAATATTGTCTGTTTCTGCAGGCCAGGGTTGGCAGATGGTAAGAGATCTGCCGGGAAAATGGGGATGATAGGGTTCTGGAATAGCAGAAGCTAGTTGAGAGCACAAAACTGTCAGAGTGAAGGTGGGATTACTGGTATTAATCGGCTGTGTTAATTGCCCCCACAATAAGCCAGGTAGATGCAATTATCCTAATGGGCAACAGTGACAACCAGGAGGATTTGGCCCTTAGGAATCTGTGGCAAAAACTAATAAGACATGGTAACCTAGGAGCAAGGTATGTAGGAAAGCAATGAGGGTATTGCTTGATTTCTATATCCCAAAAAAACTTGAGTCGGTCCACACCCTCAATGAAAATCATGGTTTCTTATCTAGTTTCAAGAGTTCAGGCAGTTTTCAGTCTCAAAATCCATTGTCCCCTTGAGGAAGGACCCTGAAGCACCATAGCAAGTAGTTATAGTACAGAAGGATGAACAATCCTTCCTCCAAGGAGCCTATAGACATTTACCAGATTAACTATACACTGGGGAAAGTGAATATGCAGGTATTTTGAGGGCTGTGGATAGACTGACATGGATGCCAAGTGGCCCAAAATAGCATCAGCATCCTTACTCAAGAGAGATGTTTAGAGGCCAAGTGATAGATGGAGTCCAAGCCCAAGTCAGAGGGCTGTGGTATTCTTAGCAACTGGAAGAATGGTCACATTGGTTTTCTGTGGAGTTAAGTCTTCATGGTAGGAAAGGCTAAATGGAAATCCCAGAGGTCCTCCCTGATCCCTATCCCTAGGCAAAGGTAGTAAGTTGACAGCAACAGAGAATCCTGCAGTGATTTGTGTCACCCTCAGCCACTCAAAGGATGCAAGAGTGATACTCTTGATGATGACCCATTCAATTCACTGCTCTGGTCCTTGCTGAAAGTATATAGCTCATGGACTAGATGGACCTTGGTTATCTGGACATTCTGGTCACTGGTCTACTCACTGATGACACCATGCCAATAGGGCCTGGTAGCAGAAAGTGGCTAGAACTTTGAATGTCTAAGAAAGAGGTGATAGGAAATATACCATGAAAAGATTCAGGAACCTGACACATTGGTGGAATTTTTAGAGGTACAATGATCTAGACCAGGGGTTGGCAAACTATGGCCGGTGGGCCCAGTCTGGCCCACTGCCTGTTTTTATATGGTCTGCAAACCAAGAATGGTTTTACAGTTTTAAATGGTTGAAAAAAATCAAAAGAATAATAGTATTTTGTGATGTGAAAAATACTTGAAATTAAAGATTAGTTTCTATTTTTTTGTTTTGTTTTATCGCAAAACAGCCACACTCTTCCATTTACGTGTTATCTATGGCTACATTCAAGTGTCAACAATAGAGCTGAAAAGTTGCAACAGAGACCATATGTTGAACTCTCATCACTTCATACTGCTGCTCAGGGGGTCATAGCTCACTCAAAACAGTGTTAGGAGTGCTAAGCATATCATTGTACCATAATGTTTAATTTAATTTAATTTAATTTTACTGTATTTTATAGTACCACTGCATATCCTTCATGTCAAAACAAGAAAAGTGGACTCCAAATGTTGCACTTTCTGGTCACTGTAGAGTGTGGTTTATTTTTTACTGAATTATATTCATTATGTAATGACACCATAACTGTGCTCAAACAACACAATATATGTCAGCATTACCAGATTAAGTAGCCATCACAATATTCCCAATTCACAGAAAAGTAACAGTCAAAAATATTATGAAATTTAAAATGGCATATCTCATTATAGCAGAATTTCTTCCCAAGAATTAAAATTGGAAACGAGGTTGCAACCAAAGTTTTCACATGGCCCGTTTGGTAGTAAGCAAGGAAAGCCATTGACCATAAGTAAGTCAATTAAATGGTGTTTGACGGCAGAAGCTGAGAAAATGTGTCCAGAGAAAAAAAACTTGCTGAAGACAACAAGTCTTTTGGTAAGAACAGCAGGTCCAAGTATTGAAGACATTGAGAACAACACCAACAGTTAGTTAAAAGAAAACAAACAAATAAAACCCCCAAAAACCAAGGCTAATGGTTCTGAGTATTTTCCCTTGTATCTTGATGGGTTACCAGATGCCACTGATAATGTTCATTTACTATTGCTTACTTGAAGTGTCAATGCCAGGTCTGAAGTGACTGGAGACTTGGATCCTATGGATAGTCTGTGTAGAACAGCAACAAGTTGAGAAAATTGATAATGCGGTACAACCTGAGGTGGAATCTGCTAAGATGTACTAACAACCTCCTGTTGGTAAGAACTTCCGTGGAACAGAAAAAAACTTAATTGGACAAATTTTCACAAAGCTTGTGACAAAAAACAAAAAAAAAGATGCTAAAGCCTGTGATTATTTATTGTATTCTTCATCAGCAGATCCTTTGCAGAAAATATTTGAATCTTTGTGTTATTGAACCAATGGTGTCAAAAATGAACTTTAGTGACTCTGATGGACTTACACTTATCTTCAGTTCTATGAATTTTTGTCAGAAATAGAAGTAAAATATCCTGACTTGGTGACTTAGTCGTGGTAAAGTTTAATTGTGTGTGTGTGGTTTTTTTTAGCTCAAGACTGAAATTGAGGTTTTTTTCTGAGCAAGAGCTACTTTGAACCACTACTATTTAACGCTAAATGAAATGTGGAAATTTCTTGCTAATTTTTAGATGTGATGTGGTATTAATTCTTTTTTTTTTAATTTTTATTTATTTATTTGACAGAGACACAGCGAAAGAGGGGAACACAAGCAGGGGGAGAGGGAGAAGCAGACTCCCTGCTGAGCAGGGAGCCCTACATGAGGCTCGATCCCAGGACCCTGGGATCATGACCTGAGCCGAAGGCAGACGCTCAACGACTGAGCCACCCAGGCGCCCCGATGTGGTATTAATTCTTATTATACTGATATATTTCTTATACTGATATACTTATAGGGGATGCTGTTGGGATTTGCTTCAAAATAATCCGAGTGAGGAGTGGAAAGCAAGGGGGCACAGATGAAATAATATTGGTCATGAAATGATGAAGGCTGAGTGATCTGTACATTATATTCAATATACTATTCTCTCTAATTTTGTATATGACTGACATTTTTCCATAGTAAGAAGTTGGAAAAAAGAAATGAGATCTGTTACCACAGCTGACGAAGAAGCCACCTGGTAGACATGTTGGCTAGCAAAGGTGTCATAAGAATCAAGAGGTAACCAGAGTATTCATCAAAGTGTTCAAAGGACTGACAGTATTCAGTCGTTCAGGCACTGGGCGCCTGGGGAACCATGGCAAGTTTCAGCTCGAGAGCTAATGAGCCCCACGGGAGATTCAGGGGGTCAGCAGGAATGAGTCAAGCGTATGATTTGGGTGAGCTCTCAGTTGGAAGAAATGTAGACTCCACTTGGTGAGGAATGAAAAAAATGTCTAGAAATCCTCTACCCTTTGCGGATCACAGTGTGACCAGAAGCTAGATTACCCAGTAAGCAGACATGCAGGATTTCCATACTTCCTTGGACAAGTATGGCAAAGTAGAAGAACTAACTTTCTTCTTTTTTCTTTTTGAAGATTTTATTTATTTATTTGATAGAGAGAGAACACAAGCAGGGGGAGCTGTAGGCAGAGGGAGAGGGAGAAGCAGACTCCCCGCTGAGCAAGGAGCCCGATGCGGGGCTCGATCCCAGGACCCTGGGATCATGACCCGAGCCAAAGGCAGACGCTTAACCAACTGAGCCACCCAGGCTTCCCAGGAACTTTCAAAAACTTTTACAAACTCAGAAAGGAGGGAAAGCTGACGGAGTTTGGAGGTTCAGAAACTTGCCTGAGATCAAAGCAAGTCAAATTGCCCAAAGCAAGTCTTATTTTTCCTTCATGGGCCACACATTCCTTTAAGAACTTAATTAAAAAAAAATATGAGAAGGGTGCCTGGGTGGCTCAGTTGGTTAAGCAACTGCCTTCAGCTCAGGTCATGATCCTGGAGTCCCGGGATCGAGTCCCGCATCGGGCTCCCTGCTCGGTGGGGAGTCTGCTTCTCCCTCTGACCCTCCCCCCTCTCATGTACTCTCATTCTCGTGCTCTCAAATAAATAAATAAATCTTTAATAAATAAATAAATAAATAAATAAATAAATAAATAAATAAATAAATAAAATAAAAATAAACGAGTGTTCACAAAATATAGTTTTGCATTTGATTTCAGGGGCTCCCTACAGCCTGGGATCCATGAACCCCAGATTAAGAATCCCTCGAGGAAAATCTTGCTGACAGAAAATTCACAGTGGAGAATAAATGTCAGGGAAGGTAAGGAGGGAATTGCTGAAAGTGGGGTGTCCCTTTCAGGCCACGAGCACACAACAACACCCGGGATATTTTCCTGCCCTAGAAGATATACATGAAGCTGGCAAGTACCAGGTATGGGGAGCTCTGCCTAGTGGAGATATACTGGCACATCCACTGGAAGGTGGAAAACAGCCGCTTGGCTTGAGAAAGCCAAATATTTGAAACGATATCATATCTAAAAGTACAGGCCAACCAGTTCACGGTTGAAATCTCCATTCCATCTTCTATGATCACCATTAGCGATGTTTCAATGTTCAAGTCCGTTCCAACAAGATTTTATAAACAATGTGTCCGGAAGTGTGGGAGATGAAAAATATCACTGAGACAAGGACTCTAACACAGGAACATTCATCTCTGAGTGGAGAATGCAAAGGGCCCTTGCAACAACCTGGCCCTCAATTCTTTGACTTTCAACTTAAATGTCTTTCTTCAGGACCCTTTCGGTTGCACACAACCTTAGCCACTCCTTTGGTATTATCCTCACGTGATATTCCTTCATCATCAAGATTTCAAACTCTGAAGTTCTCTTAGCCACAAACTCTCATTCTTCTGTCATTCTCATACCCCCTAATTTTTTTTTTTTTCTTTACTCTCAGCATGAACTCCAGACTCCTTGAATATTCATATCCAAGCATTCAACTAACTGCCTTGATTTCACTTGCCTCTTTCCTAGCCTGGATACCGTGGACACGTGAAGTGACCCAGGACCACTAGATGGCAGCAGAGTCTCGACTAAACTGTCCACCAGCTTGGGCATGAAGATCATTGGTATTAATAACAGGAACCTTGAGTTTGAAGGGGCAGGGCAAAAATGGAATTAAACAAAAGATAAAGAATACAGGGAGATTGGTCAGCTGGAGACAAGATCTTGAGCCCCATGTAAATGTAAACCAGAGAAGTGGCTAGACCTGAGCAATGGGGGAGGCAGCAGGGCACTCCCAGGTTCATTGACTAAACATTTCATACCTATCCATGTGGGTAGTCTCCCCTTGCTTTGAAACATTCACTGCTCAGCTTCTTTTTTAAAAATATTTTATTTATTTATTTGACAGAGAGAGAGAGCGTGCACAAGCAGGGGGAGCGGCAGGCAAAGGGAGAGGGAGAAGGAGACTCCCCGCTGAGCAGGGAGCCCGACGTGGGGCTCGATCCCAGACCCTGGGATCATGACCTGAGCCTAAGGCAGATGTCCAACCAACTGAGCCACCCAGGTGCCCCTGCTCTGCTTCTCTGAAGCACTTTCTATTTAAGGGTTTGTTACTTAATGCCAGTAAGCCTCCAGGAATCCTTTGCTCTTAACTGCCTTGTCAATCCCCAATGATAAATAAAGTCAGCTCTCTTGTCTCTCTCCTTCTGGGCAGCCAGGTGCTCCTACAGAAAGTTGGCAGGGTCTCCACATTACTCGACTCTCCATCCATAATACATAACCTCGGTGGTGACCTCAAGGCTGTTCACCATTCTTCTATATGTCCTTAGTTAACTCCTTTGGGCATTGCTCATGGAACCAATTCTAATCCTGCTCCACTCCCTGAAATTCCCATACCACATTTCAGCTCCCCAATCTCACATCCCCCTTTATCTGAAGGACTGAGACCATCTGTCCCATCCTTCCACCGCAGTCCCCCTCTACTGTAGACCGAGCACAGGACCTACAGAGTCCTCTGCAGGACCTTTCTAGAGGTGGCTGGGAAGATGTCAGAAATGCCACCTTCTTCAATGTGAAGTAATAAAAAGATATCCTGCATCTCATCTCTGAATCAATGTACTTCTCTGAAAGATACTTTACTGTTTTAGCTCAGGCTGCCATAACAGAACAGGGCAGCCCAGCTGGCTTAAACAATCTGCATTCATTTCTCACAGTTCTGGGGCCTGGGAGGTTCAAGATCAAGGTGCCAGCCAATTTGGTCGCTGGTGAGCACCTTCCTGGCTTGCAGAGAACCACCTTCTCTGACACCTTTACAGGGGTCTTTCCTCAGGCATGTATCTCTCTCTTCCTCTTCTCATCAGGCTGCTGATCCCATCAGGAGGGCCTAACCCTGTGAACTAGCCTAAGCTCCATCTCCAAACAGCGTCACGTTGGGGGTTAGGGTCTCAGCATATGAATGTGGTGGGTGCACCAACGTTGAGCCCAGGACAGTTACAAATGTTGATGACTGGAGTGTTTCCTAACTCACAGGAAGAAGCCGGGGGTGGCAGCTTTGACAAATCTTATGTGCAAAGGCAATGATTGCAAACCCTTCACTAAAAAATTAACACACTGACGTAAAATATATCCTGTTCTGGCAAATTTCAACTGAGCTTGTCCTATTCAATGATTTCTGATTCATTTATTCAGTCATTCAGCTAATAAATACTTACTGACTTGAGCCGGCTCTCCTAACCACTGCATCTTGCCAAATGCAGAAATGTTTGATACAGCATTTTTGTGGCAGATAAAGAGTATTTTAAAAGAGGAATCATTCATCCAGAATTTGTCAGAGTCACCCTCCAGCACTATGGAAAGAGAGAGAATCTGCTCTCTGGCTGGCAGGCATATGTCGGTGTGCTCAGCTGTGAGCTCAGATGAAACAGTAAGTGCCTCGGGCTGAACTTTTTTATTATAATCACTCCTGATATTCAAGTAGTTTTCAAAGGCTTTTGATCTAATGAAAACATAACGTGTGGCCAGCAGATACACACATGTTCTAGTCCGCTCGGTGGGCACATCTCGTAGAACAGTGATGTAAAGAGAATTCCATCACATGTATCAGTTTGTTATGAACTAGATTATTATGGATCACCCCCACACACACCCCGATCACTCCTGAGTGAACTAACAAGAATGAATTTTAAAATCTACAGTGCTGAAGACTTGACCTTGGCCTCAGAATGATCTCACCAATATGCTGGCTGGCATCCTCTGAAGTTCAGCCTGAGCCTCCTTCTCTTAAAGCTACCACTCTTAACTTAAAGCCATGTCCATGTTAAACTGTATTCACTGAGTTTAATTAACACATTGCTCTAACATCAATAAATTAATTTATGGGATCATAAATTGAATTGTTTAAGATGAATTTAATTAGTTTAAACTGTATCAATGGATTGACGATGTTTACCACAAACAATTGGGTATAATAACATAGGAATAGAACAGCTCTATCAAACATTCAGCAGGGTTTCCATGAGGACTAGGATAAGACCTGTCCTGTGTGGTCAAACATACAGAATTGAGAACAACAGGTGGAAGATATAGGAAAGCACATTTTCGCTTAGCATAACAAAGACCTTTCTAGCACAAGATTTCTCTGGATACCCATTGGGAAGAGCGAATTCCTGGTCACGAGAGGCAGTTGGGCCCTGGCCAGCCTGTGGTGTCGAAGATCTGGAAGACCCTCAATGCCCCTAAGGCCCCGCTGACCCTGATAGCCTGTGATCTCCTAAATCAGCCCTGTCATTTCTGTCACAGCCCAGAGTGCACAACTGTACGAGAGCCTTGAGGCCCCCTCGCCTGCCAGTCCTCGCTCGGCTTCTCCGCGGAGGCAGGACGTGGCTCCAGGGACACACGCCTGCCCGGTTATCAGCGCACCCAGAGCTCGTAGCCACCAGTGTGCGGCTTTTCTTCTAGTAGATTCTCAATGGAGGATGTTGCAAGGCTGGTCATTATGATAAGGCAAGTGTTTAAAATTCTCGTCTGGACTCTTGGCTTCCAGCTTCCAGGTGGAACTGAATTAAGGTAGGAGGCCTTAGGACACAATGACAGCAGGATTTCCCACTTTAGAATATTACCCGTTGGTTTAGAAATAAGTCAAGCAAAGCTGAAAGACAGAAACTGCGCTCTTAAAGTTCTGGGATCGAAGAAGAAAGGAGGAGAGGGATTCATTTTCCTGAGATCATTTGTTTTTTTCCCCTTTGAAAGCTCAAGCAAAAATTAAGGAAATTGATTCACAGGTTCTAGGGCCTTTTACAACTAGCTTCATATTGTTGCCAGGAAGTAGAGAGTGCGGGGTCCAGGAAGAGCCTTTTCTGGAACGACATAATCCGAGGCAAGCAGTAGAGAGGGAACTTAATTTTGGTGGATATGGAAATAATACTTCAGCAAGAGTTGTGGGTTCTAAAATATGGAAAGAGCCCAGAGGTGCATCGACAGAGGAACGGATAAAGAAGATGTGGTACCTATATACAGTGGAACGTTACTCAGCCATCAAAAAGAATGAAATCTTGTCATTTGCAACAACATGGATGGAACTAAAGGGTATTATGCTAAGTGAAATAAGTCAGTCAGAGAAAGACAAATACCATATGAATTCACTCACATGTGGAATCTAAGAAACAAAACAGATGAACATACGGGAAGGGAAGGAAAAATAAAATAAGATGAAAACAGAGAGGGAGGCAAACCATAAGAGACTCTTAACTCTAGGAAGCAAACTGAGGATTGCTGGAGGGGAGGTGGGTGGAGGGATGGGGTAACTGGGGGATAGGCAGTAAGGAGAACACTTGATGTAATGAGCACTGGGTGTTACATGCAACTGATGAATCACTATATTCTACCCCTGAAACTAATAATACAGTATATGTTAACTAAATTAAATTTAAATTTAAAAAAAATTGTGGATTCTAACTTCACTAGTTTACAACCAGTTTCTGGACTTTTAAGAAAATACTTGGTATTTGATTTATTCTGAAGAGTGTATGGATCATGTGTATGTTGCTTTATTACGATAACTAATAGCAGGAAAAAAAAGGTTGTTAAGAGAAAGAATGAGCTGGGGGCCTGTGGATATTTTCGATCTTCAGAAGCCTGCCCCCTCTGAGATCCACAGCCCTCGCCTTTTGGGGGAGAGAGAGTGACAACCCTATGTCTTGTGCAGACAGAAGGCAAAAGCCCTAAATCTAAAGACAGGGTGAGGAAGATGTATATGCAGAGTCATGGTGTCGGGGAACTCAGCCAACAGCCTAACAATGGGCAAGATTGTATTTGGATGTGGTAGTGCAGGGTGTAGAAACCAACACATGCAGAAGACAACAGAGCTGCTAAGGTGGGGGGGGTGGGGGGGGAAGCCAGGGTGTTTTTTGTCTTTTGTTTTTGTTTTTTTACAGAAACAAAAGAGTAGACCCTATATATTTATCACATGCTGAATTCTAGGAGATATATGTAAAAATAATCAATAAATATTAGTTACTTTAAAAAAAAAAAACTAATATAGGTGTGCCTGGGAGGCTCAGTCGGTTAAGCTTCTGCCTTTGGCTCAGGTCATGATCCTGGGGTCCTGGGATTGAGCCCCACATCAGGCTCCCTGCTCACTGGGGAGTCTACTTGTCCCTCTCCCTCTGCCCCTCCCCCTGCTCATAATCTCTCTCGCTATCTCTGTCTCTCTCAAGCAAATAAATAAAATCTTAAAAAAAAAAAAAAGCCTAGTATAAACCCTGCTTATTGCTTCATAAAGGAAGGCCATTGTCTTTCTGTAACCACAAGGAGTGGCCTAGGACGGTGACAAAACTCTTGGCACTTCTGTACATAGTTGACCCCCTAAACAGTGCAGGGGTTAGGGGCATCAACCCCCTGAGCAGTTGAAAATCCACATATACCTTTTGATTTCCCCAAAACTTAACTACTAATAACCCACTGTTGATGGGAAGCCTCATTAGTAACGTACATAGTCAATGAACACAGATTTTGTACGTTATATGTATCATACGTTGTAGTCTAACAAAGAAAGCCAGAGGAAAGAAAATGTTCTTAGGAAAATCATAAGGAAGAGAAAATACATTTGCAGCACTTCACTGTAAAAAATCCATGTGTAAGTGGACCTCTACAGTTCAAACCTGGCTTGTTCAGGGCTCAACTTAAAAAAATGTGAATTACTGGGGCACCTGGGTGGCTCAGTCCGTTAAGTATCCGACTCTTGATTTCAGCTCAGGTCATGATCTCAAGGTCATGAGATTGAGCCCCACGACGGGCTCTGCACTCAGCACAGAGTCTGTTTGAGGTTCTCTCTCTCTCTCTCTCCCCGCTCTGTCCCTCCCCCCTCCCCCGCTTGCACTAAATAAATAAATAAATAAATAAATAAATAAATAAATAAATATCTTTTTAAAAATGTGAATTACTTTCTCAACACACTGGAGAAACGAATACTCCATTTTTCTGTCCCTGTGAGCTTCAGCTTTTCCATATCGATACATGATTAGTCTGACAACCTCAGACCCGTTTTGTAACTGACTCTGATTCAATTCCATTTCCTCCCAGTTAGCAAATTTTCCATTTTTACAAACAAATATCCTAAAGGGAGCAGACCATTTCATTTGGTTTTCATTTGATTTTTTTGAATACCCAAAGTAAAACAAAATGGATTCTAAAAAAGAATATATGAGATATTTTAACAAAATCTTTTATTTTAGGGAAGCCTGGGTGGCTCAGTCAGTTAAGCATCTGCCTTTGGCTCAGGTCATGATCCCAGGGTCCTGGGATTGAGTCCTACATGGGGCTCCTTTGCTCAGCAGGGAGTCTGCTTCTTCCTCTGCCTGCCATTCCCCCTGTTTGTGCACACTCGCTCTCACTCGCTCTCTGACAAATAAATAAATAAAATCTTTTAAAAAATCATTTATTTTAAATTCTGTTGGAAATCCACCCTGCTTTTCTTATTATCTTGATTAGGTAACTAATGATTTCTTTTTTTTCCCTTTTGAAATGATTTAAGTAATAATTGCAGAAATAGTAGGAAGAGCTTTCCTTTCTGACATGATGCCCCATCACCCTTGAATACTTGAGTGTGCAATTCTTACATACAAGGACTTACACCTATAATTACATTACAACCATCAAAATGAGGACATTAACTGTAATTTATTAATGTCATTTAATTTCAGACCCCATTCAAGATTTAACAGTTGTCCCAGTAATGTCTTTTATAGCAAAAGTATCCAGTTCAGAATTACACATCACATTTATTTCTTATGTCTTTTTGTATTTCTCAATCTCAATCATTTCTCAGTCTTTTTCTGACCTTCATGACTTTGACTATTCTAAAGATTACAGACCACTCCTTTTGTCAAATGTCTCTCACGGTGGGATTGTCTGATGTTTCCTCAAGTTTATATTTAAATTGTGCATTGGCAGGAATATCACAGATGTGATGCTGGATTCTTCTTATTGCATCCTATCAGGTGGTACACAACTTGCATTTGTCATATAACTGGTAATATTAGATTCATCACTTGATTAAGGTGGGGTGATAGGCAGAATTTTAGGATGGTGCTATGACCTTGGCCGGTGGTGGTACTCTCATGATTATGCTATGTTATACTGCAAAGGGGAGATTATCCAGGTGGACCCAATCACATCAGTCTTTTAAAACCAGAGTTTTCTCTGGCTGATAGCAGAAGCAGAAGTCAGAGACATTTCGAAGGGTGACAGGGATTCAACTCTAGGAAGGTCTACCTTGATGTGATAGAGAAGCCCCAGGGCAAAGAACTGTGATCAGCCTCCAGGTTTGGGGGACTTTTCCTGGCTCCCAGCCGACAGCCAGCCAGGAAATGGGAACCTCACTCCTAAAGCTTCAAGAAACTGAATCCTGCCAACCTGAATGAGCTTAGAAGGTAGATTCCTCCCCTGTGCCTCCAGATAAGAGTCTAGCCTGGCCGATAGACACCTTGATTTCAGCCTTGGTGGACCCCGAACAGAGAACCCAGTTGAACCCACATGGACTTCTGACTTATAGAACAATGAGATCATAAGCGGGTATGTTTCAAGCTGTCAAGTTTATGTTAATTTGTTACACAGATACAGATACAAGAGGTATCTGCCAGGTTTCTTGACTGTAAAGTTACTCTTTCCCAGTAATTATCTTAGCTTGAGCTGCAATAGAAATTACCGGGAACAGCGGTTCTGGAGGCTGGGAGGTCCAAGACCCAGGTGAGGGCAGATCTGCTGTCTGGTGAGCCCACTTCCTGGTTTGCAGATGGCCATCTTGTCATTGTATCCTCATGTGGCTGGAGCAGAGAAAGGAAGCAAGCTCTCCCATCTCTTCTTATAAGGGCACTAATGCTATTCATAAGGCTTCTACCTTCATGACTTAATCACCTCCCAAAGGTCCCACCTCCTAATACCACCACATTGGGGGTTAGGATTTCAACATATGAATTTGGGGCGGCGTGAGGGGGGACACCCATAATAGTAATTAATAAGCATTTTGTAAAGAAGTGATTTAAGACTAGACAAATATCCAATTTCTCATCAAATATTTACCCACTTATTAGTTTAAGTATCAATCGACATTTCTTGGATGGATTAATTATTAATACAGTTGATAAAATCGTGGTCTTCTAAGTCCATTATTTCTTTCGCATATTAGTTAACAATATGCAGTGAGGAAGAGTTTTCGGTCCCATTTATTCATTTCAGTGTGGTCCCATGAATTCCTCTTTTATTCAGTGGGTCATAATCCATTAGTGTCATTATTAATTTTATGCTCTAATTGAGCTGGCCTCTGTGCCTTTAGGCAGGACCCCATCGTTCACTGAGCACTCCCTCACTTTCCGGTGGAAAAATCTGTGCCCTGCTGCTACCCTGAAGTCAGCCAGTTCTCCAAGTAACCTAGTTTGTTGTTTTGTTTTTTTTTAATGGAGAACGACACATATATATCTATAGCTATATGGATCTTCTATGCCACCCTATTTGGAAAACCATGAGTCCACACTAATCCTAATCCAATTCCATGGAGTTCATTCTAGTTTTGTGTCTTTTCATAGTTGTAACCTCTTACAATGAGAAACCTGACTGCATGGCTGACTACATAATTTGCAGAACCAAATGGAAAAATGAAAATGCAGAGCCCTTGTCCCCTGGCAGGAAAAAATGCTGTTAAAGGTACTAAAAAATAAAGTTCTTTTCTTCTTTTTTTCCATGGCCTCTCTCAACCGTAGTGGGTTTTTGTTTTGTTTTTTTTTTTTTGCTATTTCATGTCATTTTAAGTAGAGGAAAATTTAAATTGGAAATTATTAGTATGAATTTTACTGTTTATATTGTGCGGTATCAGTTTTAAATGTAAATATGAGAGCATTTAACTCATATGCAAAATCACCAGTGTTACACAACTATATTTTGGAGCTCATACACACATATATATGTAGTTCTCACAACAGTGGGAAGATTGCACAAAACTAACTCCACTGTTTTTATTTCACTTCTTGACACGTGCTCATTTTCGCCACATTTGGCTCTACATTTGGCTTACAGATGAGTAAGGATGTCCTAAAAGGAAAAGGAACTACAGTTTGCCCTGTCTTTTCCTTTCTTCTACATCATTTTCAGTGCAAGTGATCGTCTAATAAACAGAAGTACCACAAGTTAAGGACTCAACGCATGTGATTAGGTCAGGCCCACCCCAGCGATCTCCCTGTCTTAAGGTCAGCTGATTTGGGACCTTAGTTACAGCTGTAAAATCCCCTTTACCATACAATATCACAT